ATTCCTGCTTCTTGGCAGAATGGGGTTGGACTGGATGGCCCATGAGGTCTCTTCCAACTCTATGATTCTAAGTTAATGAGAGTGTAGATCAGAGGTCCTCAAACTAAGGCCTGGGGACCGAATATTGCCCTCCAAGGTCATTTACCCGGCCCTCACTGGAAGGGTTTGGTGGGCATTGACCTTGAGTTTTAGAGTTGTAGTTCACCTCCATCCAGAGAGCACTGTGGACTCAAACAAGGATGGATCTGGATCAAACTTGGCATAGATATGCAATCAGCCTGGTCTGGAATGACTTGAAAGCACACAACGACAACGACAATCCTATCTAATCAGCCAAAAGTAGACCCACACTTCATGTCAGTCTTGCTCTCAAGTGTTCTTAGTTTCGTGTACCAAATTTTTGCCAAGCTCCTGATTTGTGTATTGGATTTTTCATGGATTCTTGTGCCTGTTTCATGGATTTATATACCTATGGATCTTGTTTTGCCTTGAAGCTCATGGACTAACCTTTGTTTTGGAACTTTACTGTTTTGCTCATTTTACATATATTCTTCAATAAACTGCTTACTGATTTTACCAAGCTGGTGTGGTGTTTAAGGTAAGAGGTGTTCCTGCTCTGGTGTACGACAATCTTTTTGTTTAGCTTTATATTTTGCACACATTAGGAAGAACTTCCTAATGGTGAGAGCTGTTCAATAGTAGAAGATGCTGCCTGAGAGCCTGGTGGATTTAAGCCGAGGCTGGATGGCCATCTTTTAGGAGCGCTTTGATGGTGTTTTGCTGCCTGCAAGAAGGGGGCTGGCCTGGATGGCCTTTGGGATCTTTTCTAACTCAAATCTATAGTAATATTTGATGAGGAGGAGGTTTATGATAATGTGCTCCTGATATCGAGCTGCTTTTAGCAGGGTCCCCTCAAGAGAGAAGGACCCGAGGACCACGTCAAAAGGGCCCTGGATACCTTGGTGAGGCCAGGAAAATTGCCAATCCATAATAAAAGAAAACGATAATAATACCCCACCAGGCGGAAGAAGTTAGCGACCGAAGTTTATTTGCGATTCAGCTGATATCGGATGCATTGCAGGAATCATTCCACTGCAAGCATGCCAGTACAAAGAATACAGACATATTTATAGTAAAAATACAAAGGAAAACTTTCAAAATTCCCGCCCGCCCCTTGCCGGCCGGCTTCACGCTGATTGGCTGAGGCTGGAACAGCTGGGAGGAGGCTGGGCGGCCCGCCCCTGCTCTGGACCAATCAGCGCGTTTCTTCGCCTCTAGAGGGCCAATGAGTGCCCTCCGCTCGCCTCGCAAGATGGACAAATCAGGAGAGAGGAAGCATTTTCTGCTTCCTTGGAGACTAGGACGCGGAACAATGGCTTCAAACTACAAGAGAGGAGATTCCATCTGAANTAGGAGTTGCCAGCAAGCCTTTGTCTCAGGCCGGCAAGGTGTGATCTTTGTAAACAAAAGTCTTCCTGTTTGGAATGGCTTTGGGGAAAAGACAATATTGGGTTAGACAGCGGACCTCAAAAGGGATCAACGCTGCCTTTGTGAATTTAATCAATTCTTTTTTCCAGGTTTCTGTTGACTTCCTCTTCCCACTAGACAGGCTCAGAAGGCGGGAAGGGGGAATCAACAGTTATTGTTTCATGCAATGAGTCAATCAGGGAAGAGCTTCGGGGGAAGCAGAGAGTTTCCCCCCGAGCATTGCAACAACTTCTGGTCACCTTTTTGTGGGGTAAAGGTCAATAGGAAAGGCAGGGGAGCATATTACATTTCATACGATACACTTTTATACATAGTTCATAAGGGGAACCCCATCCCACCCCATAAGGTTTGTTTCAATATTCGATCTTTATTATAACCCAAACTGGAAATCCCATACTCTTAGGAAGGGCATGTGGAAGCAGAGGTTGCTAGCAGTTCAAGTCATGCATTGATAGGAAGTTCATGGCCAGGGTTGTGGCAAACAGTCCAGTCCATGCAGCAGAGAGTCATGGTTTCAGGCAGAAGCCAGCAGATGGGCGCTGAGTTAATCAATAACAGAATCCATCGCTCAGCCCTTGGAGAACTACAACTCTCACAAAAGGGCAGAAGTCCCAAGATCCAGCCATTTCCCAAAAAGCCTCATGGGGTCCTTGTTGTTGTCAGTGCCTTGGCAATGTGGCCAAGACTTAACCCTTGTTGTGTAGTCTGGTGCCCTTGCCCTTTGCAGAACTATAAGTCCTTATCCCTTAATTTTGAGGGGGGGGGAGGGGGGTGGTGCCTGACATCAGATGCAGGTAAAACATCAGGAGAGAATGCCTCTAGAACATGGCCATATAGCCCGAAAAAACCTACAACAACCCAATGTACATCCTATTGTACACAAGGCCAGCAAAAATTTACAGGGCAACTTGACACCCATTGAGTGGGTTGGAAGGATAGGGCACATTTTCAAAGCCTCATTATTCATGTAATAGCAGATGTGAGCTTGCCACTATGACCATCAGAAAAAGGAAAGGAAGGTAAAGCTAAATAGCAGCTGAGCAATGAATGTTCAATGGGATCTGTGAGGATGGACTGCCATTGGCATACATTCTGAAATCAGGTAGAACCGCTCCCCAGGTCACTATAAATTCATAATTTGCCATTTATCTCCCACAAGATGATCATTCTAGGTAACTAGTGTTTAACTGCTGCTCCCGCCATCTCCCTCTTCGTCTGCTTCCTCCAGATCTTCCAGGATGAGCTGATTGATGTCCACCTGTAGACTTCCTTGACTGATGCAGGTAGCCACAGTTGAGCCAGTGCTGTCATGTTCTTGGCTGGCGAAGAGCACTTTGGCCAACCTATTCCTACGTAGGCTTTGAGGATGCACACAGTGGGTTCCAGGTACATGGGGCTCTGCGAGACAGGAAGCATACAAACTGATATTAGCCAATGTGTACGAAGTCCACCAGCACATCAGAAAGGGAATGTATATGTGTGACTGAGTTGCCTGTTTTTTTATTGGAGCATACTGGTTTGGCACAGGCAGCAGCTCTCTACTTCCAACTCTTGCTAAGCTGGCAGTGAGGATCTCCCCATCTCACACTCCTATCCCACATCTCAAATTGCTTCTGTGCTTTTATCAAGCTGCTAATGTTTGTCCAAGAGTACTGTCAGAGGAACAGTTAAGAGAAGTTTCTAATACTCCACAATCAGAGCTGAAAAGTATCACAAGGAACAACTGGACCAATTTCCATCCACCCTGCTGAAAAATCATGTACCAATAACATGTGGAGTCCACATAGTAAAGGTAAAGGTTTCCCCCTGACATGAAGTCCAGTCATGTCCAACTCTGGGGTATGGTGCTCATCTCCATTTCTAAGCCGAAGAGCCAGTGTTGTCCGTAGACACCTCCAAGGTCATGTGGCCAGCATGACTGTATGGAGGACCGTTACCTTCCCACTGGAGCGGTACCTATTGATCTACTAACATTTGCATGTTTTTGAACTGCTAGTTTGGCAGAAGCTGGGGCTGACAGCGGAAGCTTATGCCGCTCCCTGGATTCGAACCTGCGACCTTTCGGTCAACAAGTTTAGCAGCTCAGTGGTTTAACCCACTGCGCCACTGGGGGCTCCCGGAGTCCACATACCATTTCTTTTAAGCAAGAAATTCATTTAGTGAAGAGCCGGGGAAAAAAATAAAAATGCAAAAGGCCCTCCTCTTTTGTTGGTTATGGGTGCAGGACCTTTGGAAAAATGGGGAAAAGGCAAATAAAATGCTTTTTTTAACCTGAGAGAAAACCTAGAATCATAGAATCCTAGAGTTGGAAGAGACCTCATGGGCCATCCAGTCCAACCCCCTGCCAAGAAGCAGGAATATTGCATTCAAAACACCCCTGACAGATGGCCATCCAGCCTCTTTTAAAAGCCTCCAAAGAAGGAGCCTCCACCACACTTTGGGCCAGAGAGTTCCACTGCTGAACGGTTCTCACAGTCAGGAAGTTCTTCCTCGTGTTCAGATGGAATCTCCTCTCTTGTAGTTTGAAGCCATTGCTCCGTGTCCTAGTCTCCAGGGAAGCAGAAAACAAACTTGCACCCTCCTCCCTGTGACTTCCTCTCACATATTTATACATGGCTATCATATCTCCTCTCAGCCTTCTCTTCTTCAGGCTAAACATGCCCAGCTCTTTAAGCCACTCTTCATAGGGCTTGTTCTCCAGACCCTCGATCATTTTAGTCGCCCTCCTCTGGACACATTCCAGCTTGTCAACATCTCCCTTCAATTGGAGATTGGACACAATGTGATTCCAGGCGTGGTCTAACCAAGGCGGAATAGAGGGGTAGCATGACTTCCCTGGATCTAGACACTATGCTCCTATTGATGCAGGCCAAAATCCCATTGGCTTTTTTTTGCCGCCGCATCATATTGTTGGCTCATGTCTAACTTGCTGTCCATGAGGACTCCTGAGATCTTTTTCACACGTACTGCTCTCGAGCCAGGCGTCCCCCATTTTGTATCTTTGCATTTCATTTTTTCTACCTAAGTGGAGTATCTTGCATTTGTCCCTACTGAACTTCATTTTTTTTAGTTTTGCCCATCTCTTTAATATGTCAAGATCGTTTTGAATTCTGCTCCTGTCCTCTTTAAGAATATCTAAATCCTCCAGCATAACTCTATGTTCAACTTTTGATGGAGGTTGGTCATAGCAATATGCTGGAAAACCTAGAGATTCCTAGGGAGGTGTTCTCACGAGGACAGGCATGGGCAAACTTTGGCCTTCCAGGTGTTTTGGACTTTAACTCCCACAATTCCTAACAGCCTGTAAGCTGGTTGGGATTTCCTGGAGCTGAAGTCCAAAACACCTTGAGGTGTTTTGCCCATGCCTCCAGCATGTTATGAGAACCTGCCAGTGTAAGCTAACCATCAAAAACCTTTCAACTCTCACTTCTGTCAAATGTAAACTGAACGCTGCTGCAACCCCAAAGACTGCGCATACTGGACTGGTATCTGCTATCCAAGGGATCCACAATATAATTCTCTCTGACAGCACATTTGTTCTCACCTATTCGGTTGAAGCAGTCTTCAGCTAAGCAGGCATGCCGATGTCTGCTTCTTGGCCCCTGGGTCCGACGAGGTGGAAGGATACGGCTTGGGAACACAGGATGATGGCAACTGTAGCAGGGAGATGGGACCCCCATCTGCCCAAATCCCCTGCAAGAAGGAGACAAAGGGAGTTTCTTAATTTATCAACAATGTTTATTATTAGGTTGTTGTAGGTCTTTTCGGGCTTTATGGCCATGTTCTAGAGGCATTCTCTCCTGACGTTTCGCCTGCATCTATGGCAAGCATCTAAACTAACGAACAATTCTGTTTTTGTCGTGTCAGGAGCGACTTGAGAAACTGCAAGTCGCTTCTGGTGTGAGAGAATTGGCCGTCTGCAAGGACGTTGCCCAGGGGACGCCTGGATGATTTGATGTTTTTATCATCCTTATGGGAGGCTTCTCTCATGTCCCCGCATGAGGAGCTGGAGCTGATAGAGGGAGCTCATCCGCCTCTCCCCGGATTCGAACCTGCGACCTGTCGGGTCTTCAGTCCTGCCGGCACAGGGGTTTAACCCACTGCGCCACCGGGGGCTCCCATAGATGTAGGTGAAACTCAGGAGAGAATGCTTTTAGAACATGGCCATGCAGCCCAAAAAACCTACAACAACCCAGTGATTCTGGCCATGAAAGCCTTTGACAATACAATGTTTATTATTGATTCTGTATTCTAACTTTGTGTTTCAAGATCCTAACAGAACAGGATTCACACTTTATAGAGAAAATCACAGAATCATACAAATTGAAGGAGACCCCAAGGGCCATCCAGTACACCCTCTTCAACCATGCAGGAAAAGCACAACTAAAGCACTCCTAATAAATGGCCATTCAGCCTCTGCTTAAAAGACTCAAAGGAAGGAGCTTCCACCACAATCCGAGGCAGAGAGTTCCACTGCTGAACAGCTTTTATGGTCAGGAAGTTCTTCCTAAGGTTCAGGTGGAATCTTTCCTGTAATTTGAACCATTAAGGTTATTAAGATCTTCTGGAGGGGGCCTGCTCTCGGCCCCACCTCCTTCGCAATCATGATTGGTGGGAACGAGGGACAGGGCCTTCTCGGTGGTGGCTCCTCGGCTCTGGAACTCCCTCCCGATGGAGATTAGATCTGCTCCTTCCCTCCTGACTTCTAGAAAGCTGGTAAAAACATGGCTTTGGAATACTGCATTCGCAGAATGATAATTGAGTCAATAACTACTGACCACACGGGCGGATGCCGAGAAATTTATGATTTATTCTGACGAACTGACCATTTGGAAGCTTTTAAACAGAGGCTGGATGGCCATCCGTCAGGGGTGATTTGAATGCAATATTCCTGCTTCTTGGCAGGGGGTTGGACTGGATGGCCCATGAGATCTCTTCCAACTTTTTGATTCTATGATTTTGTAAGTTGTATAATTGTATTTTAATGTATTTTTGTACTATTGTGTTATGATGTTTACTGTGGTTTATCTTATTGTATTTTAACCCTCTGCTGTTAGCCGGCCTGAGTCCCTCTTCGCAGGTTGAGAAGACTGGGTTATAAAAGTTCGAAATAATAAATAAATAAATAAATAACATTGCTCCCAGTCCTAGTCTCCAGAGCAGCAAAAAACCAAGCCTGCCTCCTCTTCCTTATGACACCCTTTCACATATTTAAACATGGCTATCATGTCTCCTCTCACCCTTCCCGAAAACAAGGTAACCCTCTAGATCAGTGGTTCTCAAACTAGTTTATCACATGAAACCATAAAATCTGAGAAACCCTTAAATTGTTTATGTTCCCTCTCTTTTCCTTCTATAATTAAAATACAATGTCCAGAGAAGGGCAACTAAAATGATCAAGGGTCTGGAGAACAAGCCCTATGAGGAGCGGCTTAAGGAGCTGGGCATGTTTAGCCTGAAGAAGAGAAGGCTGAGAGGAGATATGACAGCCATGTATAAATATGTGAGAGGACGCCACAGGGAGGAGGGAACAAGCTTGTTTTCTGCTTCCCTGGAGACTAGGACGCAAAACAATGGCTTCAAACTACAATAAAGGAGATTCCATCTGAACATGAGGAAGAACTTCCTGACTGTGAGAGCCGTTCAGCAGTAGAACTCTCTGCCCCGGAGTGTGGTGGAGGCTTCTTCTTTGGAAGCTTTTAAACAGAGGCTGCATGGCCATCTGTCAGGGATGCTTTGAATGCAATATTCCTGCTTCTTGGCAGGGGGTTGGACTGGATGGCCAACTCTTCCAACGCTTTGATTCTATGATTCTAAGTGTTTTTTAAAATGTATAAAACAAAATAAATCTATTTTTTAAAATATGTATTTATGTTACATATTTTGTAGGGGAAAAATAATGTAACGTTAACTTATTGCATTACTTATCCACTTATTTATTTATTTTATTTATTTATTTAATGCATTTGTTGACCGCCGCTCTCAGCCCTAGGGCGACTCGCGGCGGTGTACAACATATAAAAACAGTTTACAAAAGCACAGAGTACATCAACAACCATATAACACACTTAATCTAAATCTAACACACTTAATCTAACTTACACTTACTAATCCGCACCGTCACAACATAGGGATCTACCAATCTCATAATCCGTATTCCGTTCCGATTGTCATTGTCAGTTAGTCTGGGACTAGTTAAATGCCTTCTCGAAGAGCCAGGTCTTTAGGCTCTTACGGAAAGCCATGAGAGCGGGCGCCTGTCTGATGTCAGCAGGGAGGGCATTCCACAGCCGGGGGGCCACCACTGAGAAGGCCCTATCTCTCGTCCCCGCCAAACGTGCCTGTGAGGCAGGCGGAATCGAGAGAAGGGCCTCCCCAGACGATCTCAAGGTCCTCGTGGGCTCATAGGCCGAGATGCGGTCCGAAAGGTATTTTGGGCCGGAACCGTTTAGGGCTTTGTAGGATAACACCAGCACCTTAAATTGGGCCCGGTAGCAGATCGGCAGCCAGTGGAGCTGGGACAACAAGGGCGTTGTATGCTCCCTGCGTCCCGCTCCCGTTAGTAACATGGCTGCCGCGCGCTGGACTAGCTGAAGCTTCCGGGCCGTCTTCAAGGGCAGCCCCACGTAGAGAGCGTTGCAGTAATCAAGGCGGGATGTGACCAGTGCATGTACCACCGTGGCCAAGTCAGACTTCCCAAGGTACGGGCGCAGCTGGCGCACAAGCCTAAGCTGTGCAAATGCTCCCCTGGTCACCCCTGAAACCTGGGGATCCAGGCTCAAAGATGAATCCAGGGTCACACCCAAGCTGCGAACCTGCGCCTTCAAGGGGAGTGCGACCCCGTCCAGCACAGGCTGTAACCCTATACCCTGTTCGGCCTTATAATACTTTTTTAAAAGATTTTAATTTTGCAATCTTTAAAATTGTGGTCAATCCACAGCAGCACACACTAGAAACGTTGGTAAGTCCGCTACACTGCCCTATAAAATCCAGATTCTCTGCTTTGAACTGGATTATATGGCAGTGCAGAAGGGGTCTTAGTCCAACACTCGAATGACTATAATACACTGGCTCTTGGTGCAAAAGACCTACAAAGAGCAAATTACCCATCCACATTACAAGCTTAATGAAGGAGTGTTTACAAAACAAGAAAGCAGTCAATTCAGCGCTAGGAAAGCTAGGGGCAGTTCCCCATGCTTTGGGGTGGCAAATGAAGGTACTATCCCTGCCGATATTTCTGAAGAGTACGCATCCTTGGTTCTCACTTAAAGGTGCGGTGACATGAGGTACACTCGAATTCTGCATAGCCCCACATTTTGTTGTATGGCACTGGGTCATAACGGATCCCACACGTCCGGCAACGGGATACCTGTGTGGAGTGACAAAGAATAGTGTGAACAAACACCCAATCTTCAACTGTTGCAGTTCCCTCCCTTCCCATCTCTCTTTCTCTCTCATACACAAACACTTCTTTAGGATGGTAGGCTAAACTGCCGTGCTGCAGAAAAATCCTGCCAATCGAAACATCAGCAGTTGGAGCCCGGTTCGGAGTGAGCACCCGCCATTAGCCCCAACTCACCTGCCCACTTAGAAGATCGAAAGCAGAAATGCAAGTAGATAAAATAGGTACCGCTTTTAACAGGAAGGTAATAAAGGTGTCTTTAAGGACATCGATCGGAGGAAAGCTCCTCCGCATGGAAGAAGGAAGGAAGGAGGTAGAGAAGGAAGAAAGGAGAGAAAGCAGAAGGGAAAGAAAGGGGAAAGAAGAAGTGGGGAGGGAAGGAGAGAAAGAAAGAGGGAGAGAAAGAGGAAGGGAAAGTTGGCCACAGCAACGCATGGTGGGTACAGCTAGTACTATATAAACAAATAAAAATAAAATCCTGCTCAATCACAATAGAAGGCTATTAGCATGGCGCTGCCTCATCCCAGAAATATCATAAATGTCCTTTTGGGATTTATTTCTGGTTCTGGAGCTCTCCTGAGAAATTAAAATGGTCAGCAGAAGACTTGAGAACTTAAGACATGGTAGCCAGGAGATTCTGGGGATCGTACTATAGTCCAAAAGGAACAAGCCTGTCTTGCTTAAGTGGCACATCTAATCTTAACAAATATCTGCCACCGTGAAGTGTACTTCATCTCAAACATTTTTCCTTTTTAAACTGGGATAATGGTGATGAGGAGCCCCCGGTGGCGCCGTGGGTTAAAGCACTGAGCTGCTGAGCTTGTTGATCAAAAGGTCGCAGGTTCGATTCCGGGGAGTGGCGTGAGCTACCGCTGTCAGCCCTAGCTTCTGCCAACCTAGCAGTTCGAAAACATGCAAATGTGAGTAGATCAATAGGTACCGCTCCGGCGGGAAGGTAACAGCGCTCCATGCAGTCATGCCGGCCACATGACCTTGGAGGTGTCTACGGACAACGCTGGCTCTTCGGCTTATAAATGGAGATGAGCACCACACCCCAGAGTCAGACATGACTGGACTTAATGTCAGGGGACTGCCTTTACCTTTACCTAATGGTGATGAAGGGAAGGCTGAGCGAAAGAAGATAGATGCTTTTGAACTGTGGTACTGGAGAAAAGTTCTGAGAGTGCCTTGGACTGTGAGAAGATCCAACCAGTCCATACTCCAGGAAATAAAGCCTGACTGCTCATAGGAGGGAAGGATAGTAGAGGCCAAGATGAAGTACTTTGGTCACATCATGAGAAGAAAGGAAAGCTTGGAGAAGACAATGGTGCTATAGAAAATGGAAGGAAAAAGGAAGAGGGTAAGATGGATGGATGGCATCCTTGAAGTGACTGGATTGACCTTGAAGGAGCTGGGGGTGGTGACGGCCGACAGGGAGCTCTGGCGTGGGCTGGTCCATGAGGTCACGAAGAGACAGAAATGACTGAACGAATGAACAACAATGGTGAGGACACAACAGAAAAGTGAGAGGAACGGGAGAGGCAAGGGCAACAAGGGAAAATATCCAAAGTAAACACAGCTTTCTCTTGGAAGAGATGCCTCAAAGGGCCAATCGGATGACCAGGTACAACATGTACATGTTAAACAAACTTAAAATGTGCGTACACTCTCTCCCTCAATCAGACACATGCAAACCTCTTTTCGCTGTGGAACACGTCGCCACCACATGATGTCACAGGGCTGGCAGGCAAACTGTCGGTCACATGGAGGGATCTGGTTGTTTTTGGCTTGATTAAACATATCTAGGTTCTTTTTAGTCAGGGGCAAAATCTTCAGATTTTGAGCAATTTCCTAGGAAAGAATACACAGGCAGCATGGGAATGGGATCTCAAAGGTTGCCTAAATCTTAGTTTCTCCCCAAGTTATTAAAAGACCAAGAACGGCATTTCCCACTCGATGCCCTCACAACCACCCAACGTGTGCCCGTGAGTCCATTCACATATTACGGCAAGATCAAATGGGAGCCTGGAGTTTGTACTTTGATCAGAGGCACCAGAGGAGCATCCCTCCCAAAACAATAGGATGCAGCCATACAAGACAAAATGGAATCATAATAACTATGTAATGTGAAAAGGCCATTGATAAATGGAAGACGGGAAAAAAGAAAGCAACAGTGGAAGGGAACACAGCCTCTATTATAAAGGCTGTAAAGGCTGATCTGGCCGGGGTGGTCCATGCCTTGGTCACCTCTAGATTGGACTACTGTAATGCGCTCTACGTGGGGCTGCCCTTGAAAACGGCTCGGAAATTTCAGCTGGTCCAACAAGCGGCGGCCAGGATGTTAACTGGCGCTCCTTACAGAGAGAGGTCAACCCTCCTGTTTAAGGACCTCCATTGGCTGCCGTTCATTTTCCGGTCCCAATTCAAGGTGCAGGTGCTCACCTACAAAGCCCTAAACGGTTTAGGACCTGCCTACCTGCATGACCGCATCTCCATTTACGAACCCGCACGCTCCCTCCGATCATCTGGAGAGAATGTATTGTCGAAGGCTTTCATGGCCGGAATCACTCAGTTCTTGTGGGTTTTTTCGGGCTATATGGCCATGTTCTAGAGGCATTTCTCCATCTGGAGAGGCCCTGCTCACAATTCCACCTGCGTCACAGGTGCGCTTGGTGGGGACGAGGGACAGGGCCTTCTCTGTGGTGGCCCCTCGACTCCGGAACTCTCTCCCCAAGGACATCAGACAGACCCCAACGCTGGCTGTCTTTAGGAAGAGACTGAAGACCTGGCTGTTCCAGTGTGCCTTTCCAGAATAGGAAACTCCTGGCTTCAAGTCCCAAATGCACTTTGCTAGAGATTCAGGATTATCTGCACATTGCACCTACCTCCAAATACCTCAACATATTACATGTCAAGTTTCAGCACTTTTAAATTTTGTCCATTGATTTAGGTTTTAATTGCGTCACGGTGTCATTGTTTTACTGTATTATTGTTTGCTTGATGTTCTATTATTTGCTTATGAGTTTATTGTGTATTGTATGTTGTTGATTGTCGGCGGCCTTGGCCTTTGTAAGCCGCATCGAGTCCTTCAGGAGATTTTGTGGGGTATAAATAAAGTTACTACTACTACTACTACTACTACTAATAATAATAATAATAATAATAATAAATAATTGTTGGACTGAATGGATAACCATCTTGAAGAGGGAAGCTCATTTGGACTTAAAAACTTCTCAAAGAGAGAACTCTTGCATACATAGACACAATTTGAGGTCGTAGGAATAAAATCCGTCACATATATCTTTGATTTGGGATAGAATCATAGAATCATACAATCCTAGAGTTGGAAGTGACCTCATGGGCCATCCAGTCCAACCCCCTGCCAAGAAGCAGGAAAATTGCTTTCAAAGCACCCCCGACAGATGGCCATCCAGTCTCTGTTTAAAAGCCTCCAAAGAAGGAGCCTCCACCACACTCCGGGGCAGAGAGTTCCACTGCTGAACGGCTCTCTCAGTCAGGAAGTTCTTCCTAATGTTCAGGTGGTATCTCCTTTCTTGCAGTTTTTTCTCTCCCCCCCCCCCACCTGTATTTTTTGTTAATTATTTGACACAATCTCATATATAATCAGAAAATATACATTCAGAAATAATGAAACATGTCTAGATCTGTATGAAGATGGCAACTTGTACAAAATAAGTATAACATCTTTTACCATTCACTCTGCAGACGGCCAATTCTCTCACACCAGAAGCAACTTGCAGTTTCTCAAGTTGCTTCTGACATGATTAAAAAAGTAGAAGAACCTGACAAACCAACCACTGAGTATTCCTTGGCTTTAAAAACACTATGAAATTCATGAAGTCTCCATAAGTCAACAGATAACTTCTTTTTCCTCCTTCCCCATTTCTCCTCCCTTAGGTTCTGTTACAACTACAACCATCCTATTTATATACACACCTTGATTTTGTCATTTCCATTGATTGAGGCCTACATAGAGAGAAAAAAAAATCAAAGTTAAACAGTTTAATCATCAGAAGCTGTTGGGGCCACAGTGTACAATATCCTTCCCATGGCTAGATGGCTTTTTATCAGGAGGGCTTTAATTACGTTTTCTTGTCCTGGTGAAGGGAGTTGGACTGGGTGGCCTTAAGTATTTTCTGTTGGTCATGGGGGTTCTGTGTGGGAAGTCTGCCCCAATTCTGTCATTTGTGGGGTTCAGAATGCTCTTTGATTGTAGGTGAACTATACATCCCAGTAACTGCAACTCCCAAATGTCAAGGTCTATTTCCCCCAGATCCATCCTTGTTTGAGTCCACAGTGCTCTCTGGCTATAGGTGAACTACAACTCCCAAACTCAAGGTCAATGCACACCAAACCCTTCTAGTATTTTCCATTGGTCATGGGAGTCCTGTGTGCCACGTTTGGTTCAATTCCATCATTGGTGGAGTTCAGAATGCTCTTTGATTGTAGGTGAACTATAAATCCCAGCAACGACAACTCCCAAATGACAAAATCAGAATTTTTGAGTGAAGGACATACATTGGGTTGTTAGGTATATGCTGTCCAAATTTGGGGTCAATTCATCCAGTGGTTTTTGAGTTATGTTAATCCCACAAACAAACATTACATTTTATTTATATAGATCAGCAAAAGATTGGCTATCACATAGGATGATTTAAAAAAGAAACACTCAAGAAGTGGTCTTCAACCATAATGGGTGGTAAGGTAGAAAAGGGAGGTCTTTATAAGAAAATTATAGTGAGATAACTATGTTTCATTTTAATGTCTTTGGATAGGAAGGTGGGAAGTCAAATTGAAGTATTTTATGTTGATGGAGGAGGGAAAAATTAGGAGAGTTTAAAAGTGACATAAGATATATAGATGGCTGTAACTCAGCACAAAAAGTGCCTGCCCCCCCAGTTTAGCTACCTGTTTCTTTCGCTCCTCTTCTTCCTTCAGTTTGTCCACCACTTTCTAAAAGGAGAGGAAAGAGAAACTGCCAGACAACTGTACGCAGGTAATTCATTGTTGTCATATGGGATCCATACAACACTGGACAATATGTGTGAAAACAAGCTTGCTCCCTCCTGCCTGTGACTTCCTCTCACATATTTATACATGGCTATCATATCTCCTCTCAGCCTTCCCTTCTTCAGGATAAACATGCCCAGCTCTTTAAGCCGCTCCTCATAGAGCTTGTTCTCCAGACCCTTGATCATTTTAGTCGCCCTCCTCTGGACACATTCCAGCTTGTCAATATCTCTCTTCAATTGTGGTGCCCAGAACTGGACACAATATTCCAGGTGTGGTCTAACCAAAGCAGAATAGAGGGGTAGCATGACTTCCCTAGATCTAGACACTATGCTCCTATTGATTCAGGCCAAAATCCCATTGGCTTTTTTTGCCGCCACATCACATTGTTGACTCATGTTTAACTTGTTGTCCACGAGGTCTCCAAGATCTTTTTCACACGTACTGCTCTCGAGCCACACATCCCCCATTCTGTATCTTTGCAATTCGTTTTTTCTGCCTAAGTGGAGTATCTTGCATTTGTTCCTGTTGAACTTCATTCTGTTAGTTTTGGCCATTCATCTCTCTAATCCGTTAAGATCGTTTGAATCCTGCTCCTGTCCTCTGGAGTATTGGCTATCCCTCCCAATTTGGTGTCGTCTGCAAACTTGATGATCATGCCTTCTAACCCTTAATCTACCAATAAATAAAAGATAAATGGAGATTTATGGGAACAGTGAGTAAATGTATTAAAAAAAACTAAAAGTCTCAAAAACTTCAAAGTTAGAGGAAATAAGGAAATAATAAGTCTCTGTGAACAAAAATAAACATCAAATATTTAAAGTTTTCTTTTCACCAAAAGGAGTGTAAGAAGACTAAGGGAGAGACCCTACCTCAAAGGGAAGGAAAGAAGTCAAGACAAGACACTAAAGTAGTGTATTTATTTTTAATCATTTAATTGGATTATGTTATGTTTGTTTGGTTAAATGTGTCCTTTTTCTTTGTCCTCTTTGATGATATATTTTTCTGCTAAAACTTAATAAAACATTCTTTTAAAAAACGAATAAGCCAAGTTTGCACCTCTTAACATTATTCTATTATGAGGAAAGGGAATGTTTCCAGAAGATTGGCTGTAATGCTTCCAAGACATTGTGCACCTACTCTGTATTTTCCTTCTTAACATTTTGTGTGTGTAAGTAATGTAAAACTACAGTTAGGTGGAAAATCGAAACTGATACAGGGTTGTTGTTTTCCAGACTGTATGAACATGTTCCAGAAGCATTCTCTCCTGACATTTCACCCAAATCTATGGCAGGCATCCTCAGAGTTTGTGGTCTGTTGGAAACTGGCAAGTGAGGTTTATATATCTGTGGAATGTCCAGCATGGGAGAAAGAACGCTTGTCTGTTTGAGGCAAGTGCTCCAGTTGGAGGTCAGCTGTGACCAGCAGTGCTGGAGAATTTGAAGAGGCACGAATGGAGGGCAAAAGAGAGAAACGTGCCAAGAGGAAGGCGTGTCAAGCCAACCCCGACCGGGACCGCCTTTCACTTAGAAACTGATGCCCTCACTGTGGGAGAAGATGTAGCTCAAGAATAGGGCTCCACAGTCACCTACAGACCCACCGCCAGGATACTACACTTGGAGGACCATCATCCTCGGACTATAAGGGATCGCCTAAGTAAGTAAGAATGTTACAACTGGCCTGCTTGATTAGCACTAAATGGTCTTGCAGCTTCAAAGCTTGGCTGCTTCATGTCTGAGGGAATCCTTTGTTGGGAGGCGTTAGCTGGCCCTGCCTGGAATTCCCATTTTCTGAGTGTTCCTCTTGATTTACTGTCCTGGTTTTAGAGTATTTTTAATACTGGTAGCCAGATTTTGATGGTTTCTTCCTTTTTGTTGAAATTGTCCACATGCTTGTGGATTTCAATGGCTTCTCTGTGGAGTCTGACATGGTGGTTGTTAGAGCAATCCAGAATTTCCGTGTTACAGAATGCTTCTGAAATATGGCCATACAGCCCAGAAAACTCATAGCAGTCCAGTGATTCCGTCCATGAAAGCTTTCGACAACACAGAAACCGATATACCTGTGTGACCGCATCTCCATATATGAACCCACACGATCCCTCCGTTCATCTGGAGAGGCCCTGCTCACGATCCCACCTGCATCGCAAGCACATTTGGTGAGTACGAGCGACAGGGCCTTCTCTGTGGTAGCCCCCTGACTCTGGAACTCTCTCCCCAAGGACATCAGACAAGCCCCAACAATGGCAGTCTTTAGGAAGAGCTTGAAGACCTGGCTGTTCCAGTGTGCCTTTCCAGAATAGGAAACTCCCAGCATCATGTCCCAAACGCACCCTATTAGAGATTTAAGATTGTCTGCACATGGCACCTACCCTAAAATCCTTATATTTCACCTGTCATGTCCAGCACTTTTAATTTTAGCCATTACATTAGGCCTGGCCCTAGTTTTAAATACGTCATGATGTATTATTTTAATGTTTTTATTGTTACTGCTTTAATGTTTATTGATTTGCTTTATGAGTTTTTAGTGTTGTATTTGTTATGCTGTTGTTTTGTTGTGGCCTTGGCCTTTGTAAGCCGCACCGAGTCCTTCGGGAAATGTTAGCGGGGTACAAATAAAGTTAATAATAATAATAATAATAATAATAATAATAATAATAATAAATGGCCTTGCAGCTTCAAAGCCTGGCTGCTTCCTGTCTGAGGGAATCCTTTGTTGGGAGGTGTTAGCTGGCCCTGAGTGTTTCCTGTCTGCAATTCCCATTTTCTGAGTGGGAATTGCTCTTTATTTACTGTCCTGGTTTTAGAGGATTTAATACTGGTAGCCAGATTCTGATGTTTCCTCCATTCTGTTGAAATTGTCCACATGCTTGTGGGTTTCAATGGCTTCTCTGTGTAGTCTGACATGGTGGTTATTAGAGCAATCCAGAATTTCTATGTTACAGAAGGCTTCTGGAACATGGCCATACAGCCCGGAAAACTCACAGCAGTCTAGTGATTCGTCCATGAAAGCTTTCGACAACACAGAAACCAATATAGTTTGGATTCCATGTAAAATCCTGTGAATGAGAATTTTGCCCATCTAAAAACATTTTATTTATTTTCGAGTTTTATTTATTTTCGACCTCCGAAGAGGGACTCACATATTCTCCACATATAAATGTTGTCAAATAATACCACGATTGTGGACAATCACTGTGCTGAGATTATTATTGGGAAGATTTATAGTCTGCTCCATCCAAGGAAAACATCTGTAAGTATTTTAAAAAAATAAACAAACGGCAGAATGGATTAAAATACAGCTGCATTTTTGGCACTAGTAGATGATGTAGGCTTGCAATTTTAAACCACTGATTCAAATTTTGGTTGTGCCATTAAGGCAGTGTTTCTCAACCTGGGGGTCGGGACCCCTGGGGGGGTCGCGAGGGGGTTTCAGAGGGGTCACTGAAGACCATCAGAAAACACATATTTCTGATGGTCTTCGGAACCCCTTTGGCATAGTTGTTTGGGTTCACAGTGCTCTCCGGATTCCTAATTCACTGTCAATTCATCCCAAATCCCTCCAGTATTTTCCATTGGTTATGGGAGTTCTGTGTGGGAAGTTTGGCCCAATTCTATCATTGGTGAGGATCAGAAGGCTCTTTGATTGTAGGCGAACTATAAATTACAGCAACAACAACTCCTGAATGTCAAGGTATATTTTCTCCAAGCTCCACCACTGTTCACATTTGGGCATATTGAGTACTCATGTCAAGTTTGGTCCAGATCCATCGTTGTTTGAGTCCACAGTGCTCTCTGGAAGTAGGTGAACTACAACTCCCAAACTCAAGGTCAGTGCCCACTACGCCCTTTCAGTATTTTTTGTTGGCCATGGGAGTTCTGTGTGCATGTTTGGATCAATTCCATTGTTAGTGGAGTGCAGATTGCTCTTCGATTGTAGGTGAACTATAAATCCCAATAACCACAACTCCCAAATGTCAAGGTGTATTTTTCCCAAGCAATATTCACATTTGGGCATATTGAGTATTCCTGCCAAGTTGGTCCAGATCCATCATTGTTAGAGTTCACAGTGCTCTCTGGATGTAGGTGAACTACAACTCCCCCTTCCCCGATCCCCCCAATATTCAAATTTGGGCATATTGGGTATTTCTGTCAAATTTGGTCCAATGAATGAAAATACATCCTACATATCACGTATTTATATGACAATTCATGATGGGAGCAAAATGACAGTTATGAAGTAGTAACGAAAATAATGTTATTGTTGGGGGTCACCACAACATGAAGAACTGTACTAAGAGGTCACGGCATTGGGAAGGTTGAGAACCACTGCATTAAGGTATCAATTTCGGTGAACGCCTGAAATTCAGTGAAATAGCAACATGCACCACTGAGCGTTTCAAATCCCAGACTCTCCACCTTAAAGACGAATAGATGTATTATAGGATTGCTAAATCAGTACCAGTACATTTGGTTCTTTTCATAACTTTATAATTCAATTGTGCTTCACGTCAGCTAAACAATGGCATCATTACCTGAGCCACAGGATCATTGCTGAATCTTCCTCTGCCTTCTGGGTCCAAGTCTACAGAACAAAAAGGCAAGTTAGAAAAAAAAACCCATATGACAAATGACAACATACAGAGTTTTTTCGGGCTATATGGCCATGGTCTAGAGCCATGATGGCGAACCTATGACACGCGTGTCAACACTGACACACGTAGCCATTTCTACTGACACTTTATGCCATTTTAAAAAATAAATAGGAAAGAAATTATTATTTTGCAATGTTACCTAAATATTAAGGAGTTTCATATTTAAACTGAATGATAAATACTATTACTTTGCTATATTATTCAAATATTAAAATGCATTAAATTAAATGTCAAATTTAAAAATATTTAATTATTATTAACATTTAGGTAACATTGCAAAATAATATTGGTTTATTTAATTATTAAGTAAACGAATATTATTTTGCATTGTTTCCTAAATATTAAGGAGTTACATATTTAAATTAAATTAAATGATAAATAATACTTTGCTATATTATTCAAATATTTCAGAATGCCTTAAATGAAATGGTAAATTGAATTTTAATTTGACATTTAATTTAATGCATTTTAATTTAGTGCATTTTAAATATTTTTAATATATGCCTATATATATATATATATTATATATATATATATATGCCTTAAATGAAATGGTAAATTAAATATCAAAATATTATTTTGCAATGTTACTTTATTGTTATTGCATTATTATTATTATTAGAAATACATTAAATAGCATATTAAATGCTAGAAATACATTTAAATTAAATTAAAAATAAATAATATTTTGTTGGGTTTTTAAAATTATATTTTTATTAAACACTCCAAAAAGGATATTATTTACATAAAGAGAGGTAGAACAACATGATAAGAGAGAAAGTGGGAATTACAATTATATATTTTTGTTATTTAAACTAAATATTGCGAAATTATGGTTTTTTTCTTGAAGTGACACACCACCTGAATTATGCTCAGTTTTTTTGGCGAATTTTGACACACCACGCTCAAAAGGTTGCCCATCACTGTTGAGGCATTCTCTCCTGACGTTTCGCCTGCATCTATGGCAAGCATCTTCAGAGGTAGTGAGGTCTGTTGGAAAAAGGGTTTATATATCTGTGGAATGACCTCAAGCATGTGGACAATTTCAACAGAAAGGAGGAAACCATGAAAATGAACAAAATCTGGCTACCAATATTAAAAAAAAACTCTAAAATTACAACAGCACAACAACAGAGAGGAAACAAACAAGGACATCTAATCACCTCTCAACAAAAGTTTGCTCCAGGCACTGTCAGGCCATTATATGCTAATCAAGGTGGTCAGTTGAAACATTCACACCTAGCTCCAGCAGACAAGAGTCCTTTGTCTCACCCTGGTCATTCCACAGATATATAAACCCTTTTTCCTAGTTCCAACAGACCTCACTACCTCTGAGGATGCTTGCCATAGATGCAGGCGAAACGTCAGGAGAGAATGCCTCTAGAACATGGCCATATAGCCCAAAAAACCTACAACACCCAGTGATTCCGGCCATGAAAGCCTTCGACAATACATTCCTTGATTGAATTCTATCCATTCTGTCCGTCTGTCCTCTTTTCCTAGTCCTTCTATCATAGCAAGCACTGCTGTTTTTACTAATGAGTCATCTCATGATTTGGCCAATGTACCACAGTCTTAGTTAAGTCATCTAGACCATGCCTCTAGACCAGGGGTCCTCAAACTAAGGCCCGGGAGCCAGATGCGGCCCTCCAAGGTCATTTACCCAGCCCTCTCTCTGGGTCAACCTAAGTATGAAACTACTTGAAAGCACGCAATAACAACAATTCCATCTCATCAGCCAAAAGCAGGCCCACCGTTTCCATTGAAATACTAATAAGTTTATAAGTTGTAAGGCCGAACAGGGTATAGGGTTACAGCCTGTGTTGGACGGGGTTACACTCCCCCTGAAGACGCAGGTTCGCAGCTTGGGTGTGATCCTGGATTCATCGCTGAGCCTGGAACCCCAGGTTTCGGCGGTGACCAGGGGAGCATTCGCACAATTAAAACTTGTGCGCCAGCTGCGCCCGTATCTTGGGAAGTCTGACTTGGCCACGGTAGTCCACGCGCTGGTTACATCCCGTATAGACTACTGCAACGCTCTCTACGTGGGGTTGCCTATGAAGACTGCTCGGAAGCTACAAATGGTCCAACGATCGGCAGCCAGGTTGTTAACAGGAGCGGCACTCAGGGAGCACACCACTCCTCTGCTGCGCCAGCTCCACTGGCTGCCAATTTGCTACCGGGCACAATTCAAAGTGCTGGCTTTAGCCTTTAAAGCCCTAAACGGTTCTGGCCCGACCTATCTGTCCGAACGCATCACCCCCTATGAACCAATTAGGAAATTAAGATCGTCCGGGGAGGCCCTGCTCTCGATCCCGCCAGACTCACAAGCACGGCTGGTGGGGACGAGAGACAGGGCCTTCTCAGTGGTGGCCCCTCGGCTGTGGAACGCCCTTCCCGCAGACATTAGATCGGCCCCCTCCCTGCTGGCGTTCAGGAGAAGAGTAAAGACCTGGCTCTTTGAACAGGCGTTTAATTAAGCAGTGCAACCAACTGATTGATCTTGGAACTTGGAATAATGGACGAGGAGATCGGATTATGACTTTACTGATGAGACGTGATGGATTAGTTATATAGATGTATAGATGTTATATTGATGTACTGTTGTATTGCTATATCGATGTAGTTGCTTTTGTTACTGTTTTTAAATGCTAATGTTGTGCTCTTTGTATATTGTCCTGGTTGTAAACCGCACTGAGTCGCCTACGGGCTGAGAGAGTGCGGTATACAAGTAAAGTAAAGTAAAGTATAGGGGTGGAGGGGGGCGGTAAAAATTTGGACGAGAGGGGTAGGGTGGCGGGGTAGGGTAAGGGGTGGGGGAGGGAGTGGGGTGGGTGGTAAGGAGTGGTTGGTAGGGGTGTATAGGTAGTAAAAATAGAGTTGGGTTTGGGGGGGCGGGATAGGTGTGCGGGTGAGGGGGGGGGGGGGCTGGGGGGTAAGTGGTGGTGGACGGGGGGGGGGGGGGGGTAAAAGTGGAGGAGGGGGGAGGGGGGAGTGTGGGTAAGTAGGCGGAGGGGAAGGTGGAGTAAAAAGGAGCGGGCGTAGGGGGTAAGGGGAGGACGCGGCGGGTAGTTATGGGTGGTAATAACGGGGGGGTTAAAAAATTGGGGGGGGGGTTATAAATTTTGAGGGTAAAGGGTAAAGTTTTTGTCTTTGTATATTGTCCTGGCTGTAAACCGCACTGAGTCGCCTACGGGCTGAGAGAGTGCGGTATACAAGTAAAGTAAAGTAAAGTAAAGTAAAGTAAAGTAAATAAATAAATATATTTGTTGAAATAGTTCATAATTTAATTATTGTATTGTTTTTTAAAAAAATTGCACTACAAATAAGATATTTGCAGTGTGCATAGGAATTCATTCATGTTTCTTGCAAATTATAATCCGGCCCGCCAACAGTTTGAGGGACTGTGAAAACAGTTTGAGGGACTGTAAAAAGTTTGGGGACCCCTGCTCTAGACCATGGCCATATAGCCCGAAAAAACCTACAACAACCCAGTGATTCCAGCCATGAAAGCCTTTGACAACACAGACAACATTAATCTTGATGAATCCAAGATTAAAGCATTCCAGTATGTTTTAGATCACTTATCAGAGTAAGAATGCTTCCAGAAAAGGATTGATAGTGGGCATTCCCTCACATTTTACAGCAGAGTCCATAGAAAATAAATGGCAATGCTGTCAAGGTGATGCATGCCATATGCCAGCAAATATGGAAAACACAAGAATGGCCATCAGACTGGAAAAAATCAACTTATATCCCCATACCAAAAAAGGGAAATGCGAAAGACTGCTCAAACTTTCGTACAGTGGCCCTTATTTCTCATGCTAGTAAGGTAATGCTCAAGATCCTGCAACGGACTCCAGCAATACATGGAGAGAGAGTTGCCAGATGTACAAGCTGGGTTTAGAAAAGGCAGAGGAACAGGAGACCAAATTGCCAATATCCGAGAAAGGCAGGGAGTTTCAGAAAAACATCTACTTCTGTTTTATTGACTATTCTAAAGCCTTTGACTGTGTGGCTCATAATAAATTCGCAGCTTGGGAGTGATTCTGGACTCATCGCTGAGCCTGGAACCCCAGGTTTCGGCGGTGGTCAGGGGAGTTTTTGCACAATTAAAACTTGTGCGCCAGCTGCGCCCATACTTTGGGAAGTCTGACTTGGCCACGGTGGTACATGCTCTGGTTACATTCGTATAGACTACTGCAACGCTCTCTACGTGGGGTTGCCTCTGAAGACTGCCCGGAAGCTACAACTAGTACAACGAGCGGCAGCCAGATTACTAACGGGAGCGGGGTACAGGGAGCATACTACTCCTCTGTTGCGCCAGCTCCACTGGCTGCCAATCAGCTTCCGAGCACAATTCAAAGTGCTGGTGTTGACCTATAAATCCCTAAATGGCTCTGGCCCTATTTACCTGTCCAAACGGATTCTCCCCTATGAACCCTGCTCTCGGTCCCACCGCCTTCGCAATCGCGTTTGGTGGGGACGAGGGACAGGGCCTTTTCGGTGGTGGCCCCTTGGCTTTGGAATTCCCTCCCGATGGAGATTAGATCTGCCTCTTCCCTCTTGACGTTTAGAAAGCTGGTAAAGACATGGCTTTGGGATACTGCATTTGCAGAGTGATGACGGAGTCAATAACTGCTGACCTTTCTGGCGGATGGCGATGAATTTGTGATTCATTCTGACGAACTGATTTTTGCTGTAACTTGTATGAATTGTATTTTAATGTATTTTATATTGATGATTTATAATGCTTTTCTTATTGTATTGAATCTTATGTTAGCCGGTCTGAGTCCCTCCTCGGAGGTCGAGAAGACCGGGTTATAAAAACTCTAAATAAATAAATAAAAAGCGGGTGGCAAGTTCTTGGTGGTATGGGCATACCAAATCACCTAGTCTCTCTCCTAAGGAATCTGTATAAGGACCAAATAGCAACAGTCAGAACTGACCATGGAAAAACAGACTGGTTCAAGATTGGGAAAGGCGTACGACAGGGTTGTATACTCTCACCCAACCTATTCAACTTGTATGCAGAACACATCATGCGATGTGCCGGGCTTGATGAATGCAAGACTGGGGTGAAAATTGCTGGAAGAAACATTAACAACTAGGCTTGGGCAATCCATGGTTCTAAATGGTTCTAAAGTACTTACAAAACTAAAGTTCTGGTGGTGAAAATTTCAGAACTCTAACAAAACTCTCAAAATTTCATAATAAATGGCAGTTCCTAATTGGTTCTGTCATTAAAATCACCAATAATGAAATAATAATTAAATTTTGAAAGTTTTGTTAAGAGTTCTGAAATTTTCACCACCAGAACTTTAGTTTTGTAAGTACTTTAAAACTATTTAGAACCATGGATTGCCCAAGCCTATTAACAATCTTAGATATGCAGATGACACCACTTTGATGGCCGAAAGTGAGGAGGAGTTGAGGAGCCTTCTAATTAAGGTGAAATTACAGAGCCGGGGGGCCACCACAGAGAAGACCCTCTCTCTCGTCCCCACAAGTCACACTTGCAATCCGGGCGGGAGCAAGAAAAGAGCCTCTCCAGAAGACCGAAAAGGTCGTGTGGATTCATAGACGGAAATGCGTCTACTAATGCGTAAATACTTTCTAATGTATAACATAAATCCATGCAATAAGGATTCATTTTCCCATTAAGACATTAATGCAAGATAAAAACAAAAACCAGTTTAAACCATCACCATGTTGTTTTTTTTTAAAAAAAACTGGTTATTTCCCAATCTTTTCTTATTTCATAATCTGTCAGTGTAAAATCTACACATTCCATAATCTGGAAGCAATAGTCCAAATCAGCCAACTTTTCCAAGATGCTCTGATCATACTACTCTGCCTCTTATGGTGCTCACTCTATACCTACGGACACTTCATCCCTCCTCCCATTCAGCACAGAAGAAGTAACAAAACGGCAAAGACCTGGCTCATCGTCCAATTCGTCTTTACAGAGGATGATGCGCTTGCAGGCGAGGTCATGGTTGTTGCTGAACTGCCGCATCAGCATTACAGCATCTGGTATGTCCACTTTCCCGTGGAACTTCTCTCGTAGTCGGCGGACACTTTTCTCAAGCTGCACAGGAGAGTGAGATCAAAAGTAAGAGTTAAAGAACAAAACCAAGAATCAGTCAAAGCCTGTCCTGTAACAGAGAACCAAACAATGCTCTATGTCTTATTTGAGATGATCAGCACACCTTGTTAATGTGATATAACCACCAGAAAAACCTGCCTTTCCAAACATACACATTGAGCAAAAGATAAATAAAGGAGTGCTCTGATTTAGGCATGTCTACGCAGATGACACCCAACTCTACTACTCTTTTCCACCTAACTCCAAGGAAGCCCCTCGGGTGCTGAACGAGTGCCTGGCCGCTGTGGCTGTCTGGATGAGGATGAATAAGCTGAGGATAAATCCTGACAAGACAGAGGTCCTCCTGGTCGATCGTAAGCCGGATCGGGGTATAGGGTGGCAACCTGTACTGGATGGGGTTGCACTCCCTCTGAAGTCACAGGTCCTCAGCTTGAGTGTCCTCCTGGAAGCTCAGGCGTCGGCAGTGGCCGGGAGGGCTTTCGCACAATTAAGACTCGTGCACCAGCTGCGACCGTACCTTGTGAAGTCGGATCTGGCCAGGGTGGTCCATGCCTTAGTCACCTCGAGATTGGATTACTGTAATGCACTCTACGTGGGGCTGCCCTTGAAGACGGCTCGGAAATTTCAATTGGTACAATGGGTGGCAGCCAGGTTACTAACTGGTGCGATTTACAGGGAGTGGTCAACCCCCCTGTTTAAGGAGCTACACTGGCTGCCATTCATTTTCTGGTCCCAATTCAAGGTGTAGGTTCTTACCTACAAAGCCCTGAACAGTTTGGGACCCACCTACCAGCGTGACCGCAATTCTGTGTACAAACCCACACGGTCTCTTCATTCATCTGGAGAGGCCCTGCACTCGCTCCTCCCTCCCTCGCAGGTGCGATTGGTGGGGACGAGGGAGAGTGCCTTCTCGGTTGTGGCCCCCCGACTCTGGAACTCACTTCCCAGGGATATCAGCCATGCCCCAACATTGGCAATCTTTAAGAGGAGCCTGAAAACGTGGCTGTTCCAGTCTGCCTTCCCGGATAAGGAAATAATTCCCAGCAAACTGTCCTCAAATGCACTTTAACTATCCCCTTAGATTGCGCTCCCCTCACTTCTTTAAAACCTTCCTATTAGATATATCCTACCTTGTTAATGCCCAGTGTTTATTTTTTAATTTTTAACTATTACATCTAGCCCAGCCATAGGTTTTTAAATCCTTGCATGTTAATGTTTATATGTGATTTATTTAACTGTATTGTTATTTTTTGTTTATTGCTTTCTTGTTTATTGATGTGTTGTTGGGCTTGGCCTCATGTAAGCTGCTCCGAGTCCCTTGGGGAGATGAAGGCGGGGTCTAAATAAAGTATTATTATTATTATTATTATTATTATTATTATTATTATTATCCTGTCAAAGGACGAGAAATAAAACCCTGGACGTTGCATATATTTTTAATAATTTGGGACTTAACATCAGAAAGTAAAGGTTTCTCCATCTCGAGTTATAACTGTGGACAATTTTGGCTTTTGAACTTTTTGGAATTCCAGATATGGTCAGTTTGTATATAATGAGTCTTGTGCATCCTATCCACAGATGTTGGTATCCATGAAGGTTTCTGGAACAAAACCCCAATGGATATACCAAGACCCAACTGTAATTGCATTAGTGAAAACTATGATCTTCTGATACATTTAACCAGTCTGCGTGAGCTCTTAAGCTCTGCAATTCCATTTATTTCACATCTCTAGTCTTTGCAGATGTGCCTGCAAAGGATGCCAGACACCTGGAAGAAATCTGATGGAAGTATGAGGGTTGAATGAAAAGTAATGCCTCCAACTTCGTAATTCAACAGATGGCAGTACTGGTATGCGGTAGGTATTGGCTTGTTCAGTGGACTCTCCTCTACAGTTCCATTTTGGCGGAAAGCCTTAGCATTGAACGGTTGTGTTGTTAAATTGCGAAGTATGGAACCCGCGCAGACGGTCGGTCAATGCGACTTAAGCAACGTGCAGTCATTGAATTCTTGACAGCAGAAGATGCCACCCCAAAAAATATTCATCAGAGAATACAAGCTGCTTATGTGTTCCAGTGTGCCTTCCCTGAATAAGGAAACAATGCCCTGCTCTGATTAATTCTCTGCCAATTGTCCTCAGAAGCACTTTACTACCTGTTGGGTTGGTCTCCCTACATTATCTTTTAAAACCTTCCTGCTTAGAAACATCCTACCTCTGTTCACGCCCAGTGTTTATTTAAAAAAAATTATTTATTACATCTGGCCCGGCCATAAGGTTTTAAATTATCTGTGAGTTATGTGAGTTATATTAATTGTACTGTTTTATTTGCTTGCTGTTGTTTTTACTGATGTGTTGTAAGGCTTGGCCTCATGTAAACTGCCCCGAGTCCCCTTGGGGAGATGGTGGCGGGGTATAAAGGTTATTATCATTATCATTATCATTATTATGGTGATTGTGTTGATGTGAGTACTGTGTGTCGTTGTTTAAAGATGTTGATGTGGGAACATCTAACTTGCGTGACAAACAAAGAGTTGGACATCCTGTGACAGCAACCACCGAGTTTCAAAATGTTGACAGTCTGATTCAGGCCGATCGGCGTATCACTCAGAGAGAAATTTCAAGCATAATCGGCATTTCACAAGAACATGTGGGTCACATTATTGCTTTGCTTGGCTATCGGAAGATCTGTGCACAATGAGTACCCAGGACGCTGACGTCTGAAATCAAAGCACACAGACTTCTTCCGTGATGGCTTGCTCATCGTTGGCAGAAATGTATCCAATTGTCTGGTGATTATGTGGAAAAGTGAACAGTGATAGTTACAGAGCACATTCTTGTCAGGATTATTGAAGGTATGCATGTATGTTTTTTCAATGTGTTTCTATATGATTGAGAATGGTGTTCATATGTATTCAAGATGGATTGTTATGTTCAATTGTGTGTTGGAATTGTTGTTGTAAGAGACAGAGAGGTAGACAGAAGAGACCTTGACAGAAGTTAGATAACGAATCTCTCTGGCTGGGAAGAAATAGGGAGCATCCGGCTTACAGCCAGAGAGCCCGATAAGCAGATGTTCTGAAACTGTACTGAAGCTGTGCTTTGTAGTTCCTGATTTTGCCCGCTTAGAAGTAGACGTGTTGAGATGTACTTAGTAAACTTTATATTATTTTGAAACTGGAAGACTGCAGTGTCCTGATTTGCGTCTGTGTGATCTAGTAACCTCTTCTGCTGCGCATAGCCCCCCGAATTTTCACTCTGACAATTCTAAGGCAGGGATCATCAAACTTTTTAAACAGAGGGCCAGGTCATAGAATCATAGAATTAAAGAGTTGGAAGAAGCCTCATGGGCCATCCAGTCCAACCCCTTGCCAAGAAGCAGGAATATTGCATTCAAATCACCCCTGACAGATGGCCATCCAGCCTCTGTTTAAAAGCTTCCAAAGAAGCAGCCTCCACCACACTCCGGGGCAGAGAGTTCCACTGCTGAATGGCTCTCACAGTCAGGAAGTTCTTCCTCATGTTCAGATGGAATCTCCTTTCTTGTAGTTTGAAGCCAATGTTCCGCGCCCTAGTCTCCAGGGCAGCAAAAACAAGTTCACTCCCTCCTCCCTGTGACTTCCTCTCACATATTTATACATGGCTATCATATCCCCTCTCAGCCTTCTCTTCTTCAGGCTAAACATGCCCAGCTCCTTAAGCCGCTCCTCATAGGGCTTGTTCTCCAGACCCTTTATCATTATCGAAGGTCACAGTCCTTTGAGGGCTGGATTATAATTTGAAAAAAAGAAGATGAATAAATTCCTATGCACACTGCACATATCTTATTTGTAGTGCAAAAAACACTTTAAAACAATACAATAATTAAAATGAAGAATGATTTTAACAAATATAAACTTATTAGTATTTCAATGGAAAGTGTGGGCCTGCTTTTGGCTGATGAGGCAGGATTGTTGTTGTTGTTGTTGTGTGCTTTCAAGTAGTTTCAGACGTAGGTTGACCCTGAGTGAGGGCTGGATAAATAACCTTGGAGGGCCGTATCTGGCCCCCAGGCCTTAGTTTGAACACCCCTGTTCTAAGGATTATATCTGTGCTTGATTTATTAAAATATTCCCAATCAAACCCAAGTAACAAAGGTGGAGGCATTACTTTTCATTCAGCCCTCGTAGATGGATAGATTATAAAGTACCTCAAATGGGCTTTGCCAGCTCCTATCACTTGGCACCAAATCCTGTTAGTAAACAAGGATCATTTCTGAGTCCTAGATTGCATAAAAATTCCACATGGGCATCTCTGTGTACCTTTGTCCCCAGCTCTACAGTTTGCTCAAGGTAAACAATGACTCTGAGAGCCACATTACAAACACAGCAGCAGAAGAGGAGGAAAAGAGCAGCAGGCCTTTCATATTACAGAATTCAATGTACAATACAAACTCTATAGGTCACACAACCCTCATCCACTCCAATTCCCGTGATACTGTGAAGATTTGAACTGATGGAAGAACTATGAGCTACCTTGAACACTCCCACACAAGATAAACAGAATATGAGACCAGTAAATAAATAACATAAGCCTTTTTTTTTTTTAACCGGTTGATATGTTACATTTTTATGGTGGGCCCTTGATATCTGCTGGGGTTGGATTCCAAGAACACTGTGTATATATGTTTTGTGTGTGTGTGTGTATTTTTATGTGTGTGTGTGTATATTTGTGTATATATTGTGTTTGCATGTATATATATATATATACTAGCTGTCCCCTGCCACACGTTCCTGTGGCCCAGACTGGTGATCTGGAAAATAAAGTAATGAGAAAGTATTGTCGAAGGCTTTCATGGCTGGAATCACTAGGTTCTTGTGGGTTTTTTCGGGCTATAGAGCCATGTTCTAGAGGCATTTCTCCTGACGTTTCGCCTGCATCTATGGCAAGCATCCTCAGAGGTAGTGAGGTCTGTTGGAATTAGGACAATGGGTTTATATATCTGTG